CCCAACCCCAGACCTGCTGAATCAACCTTCGCAGGTAGAGTCCAGCCGTCTGTTTAGTAGCCCAGGCAATATTGACACAGGCTAATGTTTGAGAACCACTGGGCTGGGGGTTGACAAAGGCACAAGTAGAGAGTTTATCCTATTATCCAGCTTATTAGATATGCCTTGTTTCTCTGGCATTTGTCTATTACTGGGCCCCCACCTTTCTGGGCTCCTGGTCCCCGTCTCACACGGAGCACACCTGTAGACCTTGTGACTCTTTTCCTCAGTGTCTAGACAAGGAAAGAGAAGGCAAATCCACTAAGTCCTGTTTTCTGTCTGAGGAGCCATTTCTTCCCTTGAGTGATTCCTACTAGGATTCCTCACCCCCGCCCCCTACAGGAGGCTGGTCTAGTGACCTCCTTCCGTCAGGATTACAGCCCTGTCTTTACCTGCCTCAACAGGTTTGATTCTGTATCAGTGCAACCTGGCAGCCCCTACACTCACATTGGGACACAGTGCTCCTGCCTCCCAGGCGGAGGGAGCTTGGGGTAGACCCAGTCCCCACCATTTGCTGGAACCTCACTGGAGTCTTCCTGTTCCATCTGCACGTGGAGACCTTGGCCTGAGTGTCATAGAACTAGGATTGCCATATGTAGCAAATAAAATAGGCAACGCTGTATAGAACATGAATTTTACAGTTAAACTCGGTGTCAGCGTCAGAGCCTACAGTTTGACGAAAGTTTTAGACTTCCGAAGGCCTGAAAATAATAAGATAGTATTGTTTTCTGGGTTCCACATGTTTTCACATCCCATGTGGGGTCTCCCCTACATTACCCTCTTAACTCCTGTCCCTGTCATATTGATTAGTTAGTGACAATTATCAACAACATGTGAAAATTGTGGGGAGAACTCTAAAAAGAAAAACAAAAAAAGGAGAGCTCAGCTTTTAAAGTTAGATACCAAAATAGAATTTTTTAGCATTCGTTAAAGAGGTTGAATATTGGAGATAGTTTTATAAAAACAGATACCAAAGGTTAGCATCCCAAGAATTTCTTCCGTTCCTCACTTTAAAATAATGCAGAGAGTGTCACCTGCTGGTTAGAAATAAAATGAGCTTCGGTGAGTTTATTGTGCACAGCCTGTTCAAGTCAGATTTCCTCTCTCCTACCAATCTTTGTCCTCACATGAAACCCAATAAACTGGCAGAGATTCACATTGCAACAGTCTTCCTCGTGAATGTGCTGACTTGTTTACACTAAAACAACATTTAAGACACAAAACTCTGTTTTCAAGAAGAGATCAAATCTGCCATTTAGAGCTCTGTCTTTGTTGTTTGTTTAATTCTCTATGAACCCATGCTTAGCTTCTGAACCTAACCTTTCTCTGTACGTATGAAAGTGGCTATCCCATTTTCTGTAAGCAAACTCTTTTTTAGAACTTTAGTTCTCCTTTTCATAGTAACTAAACCGTCTTTACAGAAATATAACACTAAAGTAGGAGACAAAGGCACTCAGCTCTCTGGTGGCCAGAAACAGCGCATCGCAATAGCCCGCGCCCTTGTGAGGCGACCTCATATTCTGCTCTTGGATGAAGCTACATCGGCTCTGGATACAGAAAGTGAAAAGGTAAGGATTTAAATTGGACTCATTCACACCCGAATCAGTTATATTTAAAAGGTTTAAATGTATGCTTCTCTTTTTCACAGTAGAGAACAAAATTCAGCCAGATATGTTGATTGTTCCTTATGTCACCTTTCAGTGGAATTTAAACACGTTCTGTAGCTGTTAGTAAAGAGAACTAAGATAAAATGAGGCAAATTAGTTTTACAGCACTTAGGCTCCAAACAACAGCGCTGGATCACTTTGTATTGACAGAAGACACTGCATTCAGGAGAGAGATTTCCATTTCTACTGGCAGCATCTCTTCAGTAACTGTATAAAAAAGGAGGAGATAGAATATTAAAAGCTGACTGTACCTTAAGATAAATACTAGTCATCATTTTCAGCTTAAGAAGAAGTTGAGTATTCAGGTGTCTGAAAGACAAATTGATTCTGAAATGTTCCCTATCTTAAAAATGCCAAAATGCGAGGAGGCCATGTTTGACCCATGATCAGTCTTCCTGAATTCGCTGTAGAGCTGGACCAGAAGGCTGCTTGGTAGGGTGTTATGTGGCCAGGCACACCGGTAAACATTTCTAAATGATTGGATGGTCTGTATTTATGGTCATAATTTTGAGATTAGATAACTCCTGCCTCAAAACTAGTCCAAACTATAATTCTGTTATCTTCTTCTTTTTTGTTTGTTTAAATAATGCAAGTACATCTCATTTATGGCAATTAATCCATCTTACTTTTAGTCTAATGACTTTTGTCCATTTACATGTTTTATTATTTATTTATTTATTTATTTTATTGGGAGAAGAGCCATGGTCATTGGTTACACATTGCTTTCATGCTACAATGGCATAGTTGACTTAAGGAGGGCGCAGCTCACAGTGGCCCATGTGGGGATCGAACCAGCAAGCTTGGTGTTATCAGCACCACGCTCTAACCAACTGAGCTAACCAGTCACCCTCACTCAGTTACCTTCTAAAATGACGAATCCCCTGCTTTATAAAATCTATGTTCTATTTCACTGACACCATTGTTAAAGAAGGACCTATGACTGGATAAATTAATTTTGAAGCTTCTTGTGGAAGAGGAATTAAAGGGAGAGGACTTTTTATTGGGACTAATTTACATGATTATTGGCTAGGTTGTCCAAGAAGCCCTGGACAAGGCCCGAGAAGGCCGCACCTGCATTGTGATCGCTCACCGCCTGTCCACCATCCAGAATGCAGACTTAATAGTGGTGTTTCAGAACGGCCGCGTCAGGGAGCATGGCACCCACCAGCAGCTGCTGGCGCAGAAAGGCATCTACTTTTCCATGGTCAGTGTCCAGGCTGGAGCCAAGCGCTAAGGAACTGTGACTATATGAGCTGTTAAATATTTTCTAATATTTGTGTTAAAAGATGTCATTTAATCAAAGTTAAAAAATGAGCACTTATTAGAAAAAACTATGTAGAGTTACCTGTTTACTATTTCCTGACACACAGTCATTCCACCAAGTTCAGAGTCTTCAGAGACTTTAAAGGAACCAGAAGAAACATCATCACATGGAATAAAATAATGGTTGTAATTGCATTAGAAAATGTATAGAATAATTGAAAGTAGATTTTGTTCATAAAATGTATAACTTTTGTTTATATTTTCTTATTTGGACTGTAACTGACTGTCTTGCTAAAAAATGATGGAAGTAGCAGCAAGTACTGAGTGTTTTGCCTAAAGTGCCTATAATAAAGCTAAACGTTTATATGACTGGAGTCATTTTGTCTAAAACACTTTTAAATATATCACCTCCCAATTGGAATATTGAAGATCATATCTGCATTTGTGAAAAAAGACTCCTTTTAAAAACCCCATAAATTTTTGTGGGAATGGTTAAATAGTGTAAATAATTCCTATTCTACAAGTCTTTTCATATTTGGGTCCTAAAGAACCATCTACCCTCATTCTTCTTGGACTTGACTCTGCTAATTCTTACATTTCCACATTATGATGGCTCTCAAACTGACCACACAGATCAAGATTTTAGGGGTTGGAATGGGACAGAGGATGCACAATTGTGAAGTATATGCTCTGATGTACATGACATTTTTTGCCTTGTCTTCTTAGAAAGGGCTCTTACAGGATTTTAATATTTTTGTACTTTAAAAAACAATTATTTTTTTCTGTTATAATGAATCACTTTTCCTAGTAATTGCTCTCTTCCAAAACTTATCTTTTTGGTGGCAGATGTTTAAAATGTGTCATAAGTTTAAATACATCATCATGCAAACATGATGAAAAAAGAAAATAGCATAAAGAACGATACTCTGATTATAAAAAAAAAATAGCCATAAAGCACTATACTCAAGGTTGAAGGGCAGAAGCTGAGAGCAATATTTGCCATATTTATTATAAACAGTTGATATCCTTAATATAAAGAATTTTAAGAGGAAAAAAATGCCATTACCTCCAAGAAAAATTGACAAAGAACATAGATCTCAAAGAAATGCAGATTGAAACCGCATACCCTTGAGAAGTAACATCAGCCTCATGGTGGAATAAGATATCCCTCATTTTTCCCTCAACAACAATAATTTGGCATCCATCCACAGATAAAAGTGCCTTTTGGGGGGCAGTGGGACTCAGCACCATACGCTGAGGGACTTGAGAGGAGCCTTGCCCACTGTGTCAGGTAACTGACATATAGACCTCGGATTTGGCTGTGGACCCTGTAGTGGCCTGTGAGCTGCCTTCAGGCCCTCGTGGCCTAGGTCCTGGAGCCCCTGGAAAACATTGTTTTAGACAGTGACCCACGAACGAGAGAGTGTTAGTAGAAGTCCAGATTTCAGAAGACAAGTTCCAGCATATCATTGGAGGAAAGGAAAAAAAAAAGTTTGGATGCATTGGAGAGGGCAAGAGGTACGAACAGCTTGACTTGACTTACACCATTCCTCCCCTAAGGCAACACAACTTAAGGTCAGGAGAGATCTCAGCCTGTGATTTCTCTCATGGGGGAAAGTGAGAGCCTGTGCTTGAGCACCTGGCCTCCCCAGATGCTAAAGAAGCTCATTTCTCTCTCACCCCATCCAGAGTACTGAATTGTGAACTGCATGACCTGGGGGGTGGGAAGAAACTGGGAGAGTAGCAGACAGGACTCAGGGCATGGAAGATGTACAGAGCCTACTAACTGCATTGTGGACTCTACCAAGAAGCCGGCCCACAAAATATCGAGAACGCCTCACCTGCAGATCTCCCCAACTGGCCCATAGCACTCCCCAGTGCTCAGCGTGCCTTACCCACACACCTGATCCTGTGGCTGGTGCCCTGTGTGTGCCTTCAATGGCAGTGACAAGAGCAAGATCTGGCAGACAAATAGTGAGCACACACAGGAGTCTGTCCCAAGTCTGCAGGCCAGGGAAAGGTCACAAACTTAAGCCTTAGAACCACCTTTGGAAAACCAAAAGTCAGTACACAGCCTGGTGCATTGTGGGATCAAGAAAAGCATACAGGCTTAAGAATTCTGCCACAAGAAGGAGTAAAAAGAATGGATCAGGTCTATCCATAGAAGGCCTGAGAAACTGTCAATCATTAGTAGGGCTGATGGAAGATACTTCTCTCCTGTAGTCAGTTAATAAAGACTAGAGGAGATGACTTACTTCAAATGGTTCAACAGCACTGTAAAACTTAAAGGAACATGATAAATCAAGGGAACATGATACCACCAAAGGATCACAACAATCTTTTAGTAAACAATTAGAAGATACGGAGATTTGTGATTTATTTGATAAAGATTTCAAAGTAGCTGTTTTAAGAAAACAACAAGCGACAAAAAAACACAGACAATTCAACAAAATCAGGAAAACAAAATGAGAAGCTTAACAAAGAGAGAAAATATAAAAAAGAACCAGACAAACATTCTGGAGCTGAAGAACACAATGAATGAAATGAAAAATATAATAAGAGACCATCAACAGCAAAATAGATCAATCAGAAGGCAGGAACTTTGAAATTATCCTATCAGGGAAGAACACATGGGAAAGAATGGAAAAGAATGAAGAAAGCCTACGTGATCTACGGAATACCATAAAAAAACCAATTTGTGAATTATTGGAGTTACAGAAGAAGAGAGGGTGGAAAGTTTATTTAAAGAAATAATGGCTGAAAATTTCCCAAACGTGGGGTGAGATTTGGATATCCAAGTTCATGAAGCTCATAGGTTACCTAATAGAATCAACTTAGACCCTCTCCAAGATATATTATAATAAAATTGTCAAAAGTTAAAGACAAAGAATCTTAAAGCAGCAAGAGTTGGGGAAAGCATATAACTTACAAGGGAATCCCCATAATGCTATCAGTGGATTTCTCAGCAGAAACCTTACAGACCAGGAGAAGGTGGGATGATAAAGTGCTGAAAGAAAAAAAAAAAGCCAACTAAGAATACTCTGTCCAGAAATCTTGTCCTTCAGAAATGAAGAACAAAAGCTGAGGAAATTCATCACTACTAGACCTGCCTTACAAGAAATACTGAAAGGAGTTCTGCAAGCTAAAATGAAAGGATGCTAATTACTAGTAACATTAGAACATATGAAAATATACAACACATTGGTAAAGCTAAGTATATGGTATAGTCAAATTCAGAATACTTTAATATTGTAATATGGTGGAATGTTAATCATTTAACTCTAGAATAAAGTTTAAAGGACAAGAGTACTAAAAATAAGTATAGCTACAATAATTTGTTAATAAATACACAATATAAAAGAGATAAATTCTGACATAAAAAATAAAAGGGTGATAAGGTTAGATTTTTGGTATGAAATTGAAGTTGTTATCAGTGTAAAATAGACTGTTATATCTGTAAGGTGTTTTATGTAAGCCTCATCATAACCACAAAGCAAAAACCTACAGTAGATTCACAAAACATAAAAAGAAGGGAATCAAAGCACACCACTACAGAATATCAATTCACAAAGGAAGGCATCAAGAAAAGAAAGAAAAAACAAGGAAACTGCAAAACAGCAGAGAACAGTGAATATGATGGCATTGGTAAGTCCTGACCTATCAATAATTACTCCTAAATATAAGTTGACTGAATTCTCCAATTAAAAGGTATAGAGTGGCTGGATGGATAACAAAGCAAGACCCAACTATATGCTGCCTAGAAGAGACTCACTTCACCTTTAAAGACACACATAGGCTCAAAGTGAAGGGATGCAAGACGATATTGCATGCAAGTGGAAACCAAAAGAGCAGGGATAGCAATACTTATATCAGAAAAAATAGGCTTTAAATAAAAAATGGTAACAAGACAAAGAAGGTCATTATATTATGATAAAGAAGATAACACAATCATGAATATTTATGCACCCAAAAATTGAAGCACCTAAATACAGAGGGTGCCAAAAATATACACATTTTAAGAAAGGAAAAAAACTATTAAAATTATGCTGATGGTAACCACTTTGAGCACTTCCTGTAATTGCAGAAGTCAAATGTGACTTGTATTATTTATCTTTTATTATTGGTTTATATTCAATATTACAATTTTAATACAGTTTTTCCTTTCTTAAACTGTATATACATTTTTTTGGCACCCTCAGTATATTAAGCAAATACTAAGAGGTCTGAAGGGAGAATTAAACAATACTATATAAAAGGGGACTTCAGTATCCCACTTTCAAGAATGGAAGATCATCCAGACAGAAAATCAATAAATGTTGAGCTTGAACTGTACTTTAGACCAAATGGATTAACAGACACGTAGAGAACATTGCATCCAACAGCAGCAGAATGCACATTCTTCTCAAGCACACATGTAACATTCTTGATAGATCATATGATGCGTCACAAAACAAGTCTTTGCAAATTTAGGTAGATTGAATCATGCCAAGTATCTTTTCTGACCACAATGATATGAATCTTGAAATTAATAACAGAAGGAAAGCTGGAAAATTCACACTACTATGGTAATTGAACAGTACACTCCTGAACAACCAGTGGGTTAAAGAAAAAAATCAAAGAGAAAATGAAAAATATCTTAAAACAAATGAAAATGGAAACACAACATACCTAAACCTGAGATACAGCAAAAGCAGTTCTAAGAGGTAAGTTTATGAAGATAAATGCCTGTATTAAGAAACAACAAATTCTCAAACAAGCAGCCTAACTTTAGACCTCAAGGAATTATTATTTTTTTTAAAGTAAGATCAAAGTTAGCAGCAGGAAGGGTTAACAAAAATCAGAACAGAAATAAGTGAAATAGAGAGCCGGAAAAAATAGGAAAGATCAATGAAACTAAGAGCTGTTTTTTTGAAAAGATAAGCAAAATTGACAAAACTTTAGCTAGACCAAGAAAAACAGAAGACTCAAATAATATCAGAAATCAAAGAAGACATTAGAACTGGTACCACAGACATACAAAGGTCCTCTAAGAGGCTACTGTGAACAGTCACACACCAACAAATTGGACAACTTAGAAGAAATGGATAAATCCTGGGCCTACCCTACCAAGACTGAATCATAAAGAAACAGAAAATATGAATAGACCACTAGTAAGGAGATTGAATCAGTAATCAAAAACCTCCCAATGAAGAAAAACCCAGGACCAGATAGTTTCACTGGTGAATTCTACCAAACATTTAAAGAGGAATTAATGCCAATCGTACTCACACTCTTTCAAAACATTGAAGAGAGAACACTTTCCAACTCGTTTTATGAGGCCAACATTGCTCTGATGCCAAAGCCAGATAAGGACACTACAAGCAAAGAAA